CTGCTGTGTCCTCGAACACGTCGTTCCTCGAGTAGGCCCCCTAGATAGACACACAAAGAGTTAACCAGGGCTCTGTGGATATCAAAGGCAAAGTAACACTGAGTATAATTCAAAAGACCAAACTTACTTCCTGACACTGCTTGATGTAGACATCCACACAGTGTGCGTAGCCCTTAAAAAAAAAAAAAGAGATTACAACAGATTACATCACTGAGCCGAAGATTCAAAGCAGCATTTGAAGACAAAGAGAAACTTCCCAGATATGGATTTTGCATTTAGTACAGAGTACATAAAGCCATCGACTATCCCAATGCTCACACTTAACACTAAAGACCCATTAGATTTACATTAAATTTGGTCACAATTGATTACATTCAATTTGGCCTAAAATCATAAATATGACTCAGTCATGTCACCTTGAAATGTAAAAGAACCGCTGCCACTTCTCGCATTCTTCCAATCTCTCCCCTGCGCTGGGCAGCAGTGAACTCTTGGATTAACTGCCTCTCCAGGTCATGGTATTTACCTGGGTAGAAAGGCAAACAAAACTAAATCATACGCTTTTATCAATTGTAACAAACTCCTAAAGTCTTATCAACGAGGACTGTTTAGGGGAGACTTCAGTAGATGCTAAGTTTTACCATAAACTTACTTGCAATCTTTGCCTTGACATCTGCAAATCTGTCAAAAGAGAGATAATGAATCCTTAAGAATACAATTACAAATAATATCCAGATACAAAAAAGTAGTAGTATGTGTTTTTACTTTTTGGAGATGCTATAAAACCCCATAGTCTTGCATGGGGCTTACATTGTGATTAATTGCCTAAATCACTAAGTCACCACCTTTTCTTTTGTTTGACAGTGCTCTGTTCTAAAGCTGCCTCCAGGTCGACTGACTCACCTGTCAAATGGCAACTCCTGGGCAATGAGATGCAGCTTCTGAATTATATCAGCAGCCTCTTTAATCTGAGGGAGAGAGAAAGAGTGAGCGAGCGAGCGAGTGTGGGAGTTAGAGAGAGAGAGTCAGGTGAGGCAAAATGAGATAGAGCACCACAGGACCATGAGAGGTGGACATCCAGACAAAAAGCTAGCAGGCCGCCGGCAGTGTCTCCACTTGGGGGGATCATCATTTTAGCGCAGCCCTCCTCCACCTCCCCATGTTGAACAGGGAGCTGATAACAGACAGGCTGCGCTCACCTGGGCATCGGCAGCAGCAACAGCAGCAGTCCTGACTTAGCAGCACATCCAACTCTTTATTGGCATGCCTTTTCTGAATGGGCTGTAATCCCACAGGACTCTAAATCGCTTTCAATAATCTGTCCGGCCAGGGATATCTGTCTCAAAAAAAGGGGGCCCTGTCGAGAACCCCCCTCCCCCGCCCCTCCTGACATGCACACTGGCTGAAAAAGCCCCAGACCTACGAAAGGCCCGCCGTCCGCAACTCCTCTGTTCCCGCAGATGCCTGCCTCAGCTAACATCATTACTCTGCTCCCGTGAGGAGGATCCAGCCTTTCTGCTCGGCGAAGGTTTTCTAAGTATCTGTCCCCCAGCTAAGATTAGCTAAATCCCATGTAAGTAATGTAGCCGTCTCCCTGCAGTCAGGGTTTAGCAGCACTTGTCTCCACGCTGGCGGCCCAGCCCTCCCTTTCAGAAGGATTAGCAAAGCCATCCCCCTTCAGCTATTCACTTGCAGCTTTCCTCTTTCCCCTTCGTCTCGAGGTATGCTCAGGAAAAAGGAATCTGGCCAGATATTTCTGCATGCCTCTCCAGAAAAACCAGCTCCATCTCCGGCTCTCGTCTTCGGGATTGACCCCCAGACTCGGCTGCTCTGCATCCACTAATGATGTTGCTACTAACAGGAATTAATCTAAAGCGTCCCAATCCCTTTGCTGTCACTTATAAAACTGCAAAATCAAACTTTTAGGGGATACTTGTCCAACATCAATATGTCATCTGTGTAGGCAGGAACTTAGTTAAAGTGTGCATCTCATCTGCCTGCATGCATGTTATCACCGCCCTTACATGTCCCATAATGCCACAAGCGCTTTGCTGCTATAATGCTTCACAAAGCTGAGGACCTACCAAGTTCCTGCTCAGACAACCTCCTGTAAAATGCAATTAGGGTTGACATGAGCATGTTGACATCCATGCTAGTCAATCAGCCAGCTATTGTCACAGAGTAAATGACAGTTTATTAATCCAAATTAGCCGAGGGATCCAACTAAAGGGATAAACGTTACAAATTAATGTGGAAGGTTTACCTCATAATCCTGTTCATTCTCACCTCCAGCTGTATCACAGCAGGGGGTCCTAAGTAATGGTCACACACACACCCCTCCACTGATGTAAATGGAAGGAACATATTATGCACCATCCTCACCTTGTCTGGGTTATTGAAGACATCACTGCGTAGGTCTCCATCCAAGAACTCGTTGAAGTAAGTCATCAGGCGCTGAGCTTCGACGGCCCTCTGCCGAGGTGTGTTTACCCCCTCAAGCTGGTCGCCAAGGTGACAAACCTTGGTTGCCACATAGCTGATATGCTCATCGAGCTCCTGGAAATGCTGAAAGGCCACCTGGATTGAAAAATAACAGGGATGAATTTATCATATGATAATGAAGAAAAATAACAGGGGGATTCAAACACCATGGATCATCAAATATACCTGATTGCTTCTCTGCAAGTCTTGCACTTTATGGGCAAATTCTTTGGCCTCACGATGACATTGATGCTCAAGCTTCTCCACCCGCCGCTGAATCTTCTCATCCAATTGCTTTAGCTCTTCTATGTGGTTCTCAAATTCTTCCAACAACCTATCACAGACAATGAAACAATATTGATCCAGGGCTAATCAGCGGTCAGCCAACTTCTCAACAAACAGGTAAAACATAGAAAAATACTCTTATTCTATATTCTAGAGGGGTAATTGGGTACCACAAGTTTAAATCTGTCCCACTGACCTCACAGCCATAGATATAGTTAGTTACAGAATATTCCCTCAAGATTAATTCCTGGGTCCCCAGACTTAAGAAGCTCTGAAAACTAGCAACTTCGTCAGCTGCATTTTAAGTGCCATCAGGACTGCAGAGCAAATGTTCTAAGTCAGCACCACATTTCACAGAGCAGGAAACATCCCAAAATGATGAGTGTATAATCTCTTGACTAATTCCCTCGGCACTGGCTACAGCTTAAAGACATCTCCCATCCCTTTTCCAATAGACACTCATTCCCTGACTGGTGACTCACAGTGTGGTGGCCTCCACAGATACGTTGTCTCTGACTCCTCGCTAAGAGCTTCCGAGGAGGTGGTGGCAACAGTTTTGTGGAGGAAGTAGATAAGGCGGGACGGATCCGCGGTATAGTTAAACTGTTATGGCATTTTTGCTTACGAGAAATAACTCGGTCCCCAAGTGTAAACACAACAACAACAACAACAAGCAGTGTAATACCATGAAAAAAAAATCTTCAGCATGGATATTTCCTGTTTTTTTTTTCAACCATCAGAAACACTTAATTAGCATAGGAGACACAAAGATGAGCTTTCGTAAATGCAAAGGGGCAACACAGCTTCACTCTGATTATTTAGCAAGTTGATAGTGACAGTAGTAGATAAACAAATCTTAATATATAGTGAAGGACTTGAGTAAAAAATGCAATTATTTTTTTTAAATAATCCCAAGAATATGATATTTCTGCAACAAACCCCTTAAAATTATATATTTTTACTAGTGTACAAGTATGAATTAACATGATAGAGAAGAAATATCCTGATGTCCACATCTGTTCAGCAATCAGTGAAACTTGTAAAGGTTGAGACTTGAGGATGTGTAGAAAGGTGCTATATTACATGAAATGGGAAAAAAAATAAGGTTGTCGATATCATAACATCAAACAAGCTAAATGTCAAACTCAAAGTCAAATTTATTGTCAATTTCAAATTTCAGTGGAATCGAAATTGCGTTTGTCTCCGTCCCACGGTGCAATACAACCAAAATAAGGTAAAATAGATCAAATAAAATGAGGTAAAAATAAGATAAATAATATTTACAGTAATAAATTCTAAATCGTGCAAAAGGTACAAAATGGTAAATAAAATAAAAAGAAAATGTAAAGAAAAAGTAAACTTGTGCAGTATGTGCAATGTGCAGTAAATGTGCATGTAAAAATGTTGTGTCACCTTTAAACAAATTTGAGATTTTGTTATTCCATGAGCAACCAAGTTACCCACCAAGCAACTATACGTCAAGGTTAAATGTGGTTAACTTTAGTACTCGTTAAAGTTCAAGGGAAGACAAGTGTGTGCATCACATTTCACAAGCTCCTTCAGTACCTCTTGGGGTCGAAAGCCTCTGCTCCTCCTTTGGAGCCTCCTCCAGGTGTCCTCCACGCCAACCTTTCAATGTACTCATCTGCATCAAATGGCTCCTGAGACGGGAGGAAGTCATTGTTGTGATGATTTCTTCACACCGAAACAACAACAAAACACCGCGTTTCGACTCTAAACACGAATACTAACTAAACGAAAAACACAACAATCCACTAGAGCGACTAAAAGCTTTTGTATTTGACTGAACTGTCAACAGTCAGAAGCGCCGACTTTCCCCTGTTGACTCATAAAACCGCTACTTATTATGCATACTTATTCCCATTAGAAGTGTGTGGTTCTTAAATTATTCTCTATTACATTGGAGATGAACGAAGACGGTAGTTAGCATCTTAGCCTGACAGCCAGCTAACACAGCTCTCCCGTGCAGCATCATTTTTTATTTTATTTTTACCTCGAACAGCTGAGCGGTTGTTGCCATGTCCAAGAGATTCTACCAGCGGCGCCGTGAAGTCAGTTTTTAGAGGAATACCGCCGACTTCCACATTGATTTACTATTTCCACACAGTTTTGCCCTTTGTTGACAGCTAGCTTGGTTAGCAGCACAGCTTCCTGTATGGGGCGGCGAAGGGTGGGGATAGCTGCATGAAAGCGCGCATGCGCTCAGGTCGGCTGACTGCTGCGTGTGTGTGTGTGTGGTCACATGACGAGAAAGAAGCAGGAAGTAGTTCGCCGAGTTCGCATCAGTATGTTGACCATTTCAGTCGAATGATTTAATGTAAATATTTATACCGTAATCTCACAACGAACTTTACATTTTTATTTTTTTTATGCAGCCGGACAGATGAGTGTGCGTGCGTTGTGGATTATTTCGCACGACAAGGGAGACAATGTGTCGATACGCTTTTCAAGGTGTGTGTCTGACTTGTGTTTCTTTCTTTAAACATAATCTGTGACGCCGCTTGCAACCTACCGAGTGTTTCGTCTTTTGTCCCCACAGGAGGTTTGCAACTGTGGAGCACCGTGCAAAGCGCCTGGCTGGTTCCTCGTATGTTGCAGTCCCAGACGAAAGCACTGTGCTGCATCTCCTGCTCACTGAGCTGGGGCTTTCAGACTCAGATAAGTCCTATGTAGCTGTCAGAGATGATTGCCTTAATTGTCCGCGATCACCAGCTCTGGAGCTGCATGCGGACAGTCCTGATAAAGGAGTACTTTGGCCAGTGTTGGCCATCTCACAAGGGCCTCTCATCCTAGCTTGCCTGCCTCTTGTGGATGCCCCTCCTGAGCCAAGACCCCCCCTTTCTAGCCTGTTGTCTGTCTCCCAGGGCCTCACACTTCTGTCGGGTCTGCAGGCTTTTCTCCTGTCCTCTGGAGGCAAAACTGACGTTGAGGGGCTGGCCTCTCGTTTGGCCATGCTGCCCTCTGTACTCTCGCAGATTTGTCCACTTGGCACACCCCTGGATGTGCCGTTACTGGGGTCACCGGCTTCACCCACAGTGCCTGGGCCTGCTGGGAACCAGAAGCAGCCAGCCTGGAAGACAGGGCTCCATCGAGGCAGAGCTGTGGTGAACGTAGCACTAGTAGAAACAGTTCGCTCCATGCAGTATGGTAACCGCGGCAGACAGGACCTGTGGGATGTTTATGGCACTGTGACATGCAAAGTAAGAGCACAGTGAACAGAAAAGAAACTGTAATGTTGACCTTTTTGATTATTTGGCTTGATTCACTTTGTTTTTTTGTCCTACTGTCAACAGTGTGAAGTAGAAGGTGTGCTCCCAAATGTGACGGTGACCCTCACACTTCCACCAAATGGTTCTCCGCTACAGGACATCCTGGTTCATCCCTGTGTCACCTCACTGGACTCCAGCATCCTCACTGCCAGCAGTGTAGATAACTATGACGGCTCAGCTTTCTCAGGGCCTTATAAGTTCCCCTTCTCTCCTCCTCTGGAGCCTTTCAGACTATGCAGTTACACATCTCAGGTAAAAAAAAAAAAAAAACTTGCATAAAAACACACTTTTCCTCTAAGTAACACGAGTGCTAAATCCTCAAGCAAGTGCTTCCTGCAATTCTTCATCAGGTTCCTGTTCCACCTATCCTGGGTTTGTATCAACTGAAGGAAGAAGAAAACCAGCTGCGTGTTTCAGTGACCCTCAAGCTTCATGAGAGTGTGAAGAACAGCTTTGAGTATTGTGAAGCACACCTGCCATTTTTTAACAGGTAATACGATGATGTTGTCTTTTAGATTTTTTTTGCACATCTCAGTGTTAGCGCTCACCAACCAGCACGTTTTCATAGAGTTTTTTTATTTTCAAGAAGATGATCTACAGAAATGTCTATCTTTATTTGAACTAAGATCTGCAGTGAGTAATTATCCGTATTATCAATTAATCTGTTACACTTAGAAATGTTTATAAAATGTGTAAATAAGTCCCTTCAGCGTTTCCCTCCTCCTCTATTTTCAATATCACACTTAACTTTTAGGTCTGATGGGTTTACAGCATTAGGAAATCTGACTCCTTATGACAAACTGGACACATTAAGTTCCTTAAAACACTAATCTCTCAATTTTGAACAGTGTTATGTACACACATATATGTTAATGGATAGGGCTGCATCCAAACTTTACTTAAGTTTAGTTTATTAAGATCCCATTCATTTAACATTGCTGCAGCTATTCCTTCTGGGGTCCACAACAATATTTACTATTATTTCACTACCATCATCATGATCATCACTTCCACTATTAGAATGGTCACACTTCTTATTATCATTATTGGTTTAGTACTTATCATTACCATTAGTAAGTACAACATACTAGGATATCTAACCTGGTGGTTACCACTGTCAATACTGAGCAACTGAACGTTCATATAATCTATGTAAACTGTTTTTTTCTTTACACCAATATACTGATTAAATGAAAGAATATATGTATATATATATACACATATATGTACATGCAGATGCATACACACAAATGTGCACACAAAGTGTAAATGTGCTGGTGTATTTAAAGTGCATTCAATGCTTCAACTCACATTAGCTGAATGAATGAATCCTTTCAACAGCAAAGTAAAAGTAATAAACCCAATAACCCAACAATGCACTATATCTTAATCTGCGAGTCTCAAACACAACTCAGCCACATGCCTTACACTTTTCAACAGTGAAGTTATTTATTGAAATGCACCTACAGTAGTCTTTCACTTGTCTTCCAGAGTAGAGAGGATAAAACCAATTTAAGCCCTTTTTGGGGGTCAACTCTGCGTTCATTAGCTATGTCTGTGTTGATCACTGGTTTAAATGGTTGACTTTAACCAGTTGAACTAACTCCTGCATATGGGTTCTGCATCTTGTGCAGGGATCAGATGGGCGTTGTGGATGTGAAGGTGAGCTCAGGACAACTGGATATTTCAAAGGAGAAGAACCTGCTGATCTGGGGTCTGGGTAGGTTCTGTGCTACTGTGAGAATGCATGTAAAATAGAAACCCTTTTAATGCATATGTCTGTTTGAAAATGTAACTCAAAAATAGTTTTTTGCTCACCGATATTTAGGACAAAAGTTTCCTAAATCACGTGAGGTCACATTGGAAGGCAAGATCAGCTTTTCTGGGCCAACGCCAGGACCCAATGACCCCCTCTGCATTGGACTCACAGCTTATGTCAAAGTAAGTTGATGTTTGTGGTGATCATTTTAAGGACAAGATTGAGAGACTTCTCATTCATGATTCAGTTTCTTCAATAAAAGGGACTGCATGATGTAGCTAATTTCTGATGGATATTGTCCAAAGACCAAGGGATCTTGTAGTATATAAAGATTAGGTCTAATAAGTAATTAATAGCAATTAGTAATCAACACTTGCCATCATTGTCTGCACAGTTGTATTTCAAAGTGCCTGACATGACGCTCTCCGGATGCTGTGTGGACCAGCATTCAGTGCAAGTTTATTCCTCTGCCAAACCACGGATTGCAACATGTAAGCTTGATTTAATTTATCAGAATATTTGTTGTATGCACGTAATGTGAAACTTACAATATATTCTTTTGGTCATATTTTCAGCTCGTGAACTTCTATCCAAAGAGTACTTCCTATGGAATTCCACAGGAACAGCTCCGGTATCCTCAGGGCAAATGATGCTGTAGAATCTAGGACTATTCAAATCAGAGGCACAAACTGGAAATGAAACCATCTAAAACCCAAGTGTTACAATCCTGCTGTTACTGGGTAACTTAGTAATAGGAAAAATATTTACAAAAATAGTGAAAATATTGAATAGATTTTACATTTGTAGCACCTACATGTGAAATCATTTAGCTTTCACTCAGAACAGCTTCAGTGTGCAGATTTCTGGCTTTCAGAATCCGTTGACGGATGGATACTTTTTTTCTTCAAAAACCTTCCCCTGTAGCCTAACTTCTTTCATCCCCCAGTCTTCACCCTCCCTTAAATTTATCCCATTGCAGACACAAGGGCCACCCCTCGCTCTGACAGTCCCACTTCAGTGACTCTCCATCAGCCGGATAATTAGCAGCTGGGGCCTTGTCATCAGCTGTTGTGGAGCTGGACGAGAGGGGCGGCTGGGCTGTGAAAGGCTAGACTGCTCTGGCCAGTGTCTTGGCTACAAAAGGCTACTCTTTTAGAGCTGGCAGGAGTCCTTTTCACCCCCCCCCCTTTTCATCCCCCACCCCCCACCCTTTTTGACCCCATCCCCGCCCTGTCAACTAGTGGCTAGTTCAAACACACAGCCTCTCAAAGCAGACTGTGATTGAGCGCTGACCCTCTGGCCCTCAGAGACTTGAAAGCAGCCGGTCCCATTCAGAGAGCTGTACCTGCCTAATTAGTGAAAAAAGTCACAAGGATGGAAGTCACAAAGATAGCCGCCTCTTGAGCGTGCACAGGTGCTTCAACTCAATTAACGTGAAACTTTAAATTAAATCTTTTCAATGTTTTTTTTGTGTCGCAAAAATGTTCAAGGTTAACCTCTCTTCATACTGAAGATTTCTGGTTATTCTGTTTTGTATGTTTTTTCGGTTTTTATTATTTCACCTAAACTATGATACCTTTCATACTAGCTCTGTTACACTTCCACTGTGAACGATTCACCTCAGTGTTTTAAGTTGAAAGCACAACCAGCAGATGAAGGGTTAAATCATAGGAGATTGTGGCCCACTATTCCACAGCAGCCAGACTCCTCTGAGTGCCCTCATTGTCTGATGTTGGCCTCTTTTGCCCCTTGCTGGTCCAAATGCTACATTCTCACGTGGATTTCCACTCAGAAGGCTGACCATGACCAATCCTCTGTCAATTGGAACCAATTGCTCACACGGCATCCTTCACCTTCTTTTTATGTAGCAGTACGGAGTGGCAGACACCGAGACCTCTCGGCTCTCCCCCTCCACCGTGATTTGGCTTTAATGCCCAGTGTGTGTAGCTAGCGAACTGGAAAAGTAGAAGATTTTTTGAAGACTTGGGCCACTCTAAATCTCCTCAGTATCCCAATATGTGGTCAGTCTGGCTCCTCAAGTCTGCAGTCAGTGGCCTCTCACTGGCAGACTTTGCTTTGTTGATTGAATGAATGGCTAAGTACAAGGAGTTGTTTTAATGTGTTGTTCTGCACCAGTGCCTCCAGATCATACCTTTGGGTCTTTAATATCACAGTGTTTTCCACAATCGTGACTGGTGTATTTATTTCATCATTGTTTCAACTTTCATTCTCGCATAAAGAAAATAAATTTAACACTTTTGTACAATAATCAGCAAAATAAAACTAACATGGGCCAGAAGCAATTTATGAAAGTAAAGCCTCTGTGTGGATTGTCATAAATCATTTAAATAGATCATGAGGTAGCATAGCCATATGTGTCAAAATGTGCCCCAGATACCAAATAACATAAAATTGTTACACTTAAAGAAACACTGCAGGTGTTTTCTGTTTAGCTGTGAGAGGTCACTCCTGTCCCTCAGCCCAATAATGACACCCAGTGGTAGATCACAATAAAGTTTATGTTCGACAGCATTCTTTTCTTTAATGTGGTTTCATTCTCTGTTCTTCAATTGAAAGACTTTGACTTAACCCCTGTGGGTCAATCTTTTGTTATTTAATTCCTGTTCTGCCCCCCTGCTGTGTGATGTGATCCCAGCTATGCTCATTACGCACGCCGTGCCTCAGGACCTGGCTGTAGTCCACCACTGTGGCATCAGGTGTTTGGTTTGATTCCAGCTCCTCCTAGACCCTCTAAACCCGGTAAGAGCCTGACTCAGGGAGACCACTTGAATAGTGACGGTAGAAGTATGAACTTCCTGTTTTCCATGTCATTATTTGTCAAGAGTCACACATCTCAAACAAAAAGGATATCATTGGATACCTTAAGATTGTTATGTACTCATTTCTATACCGGTTGTACAGTAATAGATCAGGAGCTATCAGGGTGGATGATTTTCATCCAAAACACTTTGAATTCAACATATGAAAAGGGTTTTTGGTTGTTTGCTATCGATATTGTTGGAAGTCCAAACAAGCTCCCGACCCACTGTGAGCATTAAGTTTTCTCATTTTAGTGCATCACTTTCATCCCTAGAGGGCACCATAACATCAGTCAAGAATTATGTCTTTTCTGATTGGAGGCTTTTGAAAAAGAAAACATTGTATGTGAAAATCCTTCTTTCTGGAAACTTAAATAAAAGATAGATTTGTACGTTTTGGTGAATAATTTGTGTTACCTGACCTAATGTTTTAAATTATTTTCCTACCCAGATTGCTAGACAAGTCCAGTTCATAATCCCGGATCCTCCTTGCAAAACCATATCCTGCCAGACATTTACTGGCAGACTCAGGCCCCATTAACTTTTTCTTTTGTTTTATTTGTTTCTTGGGCCTTGAGCTTGATCCCTCTGGTTCACACCGCGTCCTCTTCTCCGGAGCTGATTGCACGGCAGGCCAAGGTGAGGCAGAGATTTTTGGTCCAGAAAGCAGCTGAGGTCCAGTCTATCACCTGTGGTCTCATCCCAGAAGATGTCCCTCTCTGTGGGTCTCCTCACAAGTTTCGGCCCCTGGCTCTTTCCTGTATTCCCAACTGAAGAGCCAAATGAAATGACCAAATGCTGGATCAATCGATGGACTTTATGTAGATAGATATTTTATCATGTTTGCTTATTTGAAATGAACACAAGATACTTTTGCCCTAATGAAAGGATAAGCGCTCCATGAAGAAACCCCTCATGCTAGTTATGCCACTACGTTCTGATAACTTACAAAACCTTATGGCTCTTAGTTGCCACCGCAAACAAAGCAGCATTGCCACCCTCAGTAGACTCATGCTCTGTTTATGCGAGCTAGCCAGGTAGTTACAACTTCAATACTACCTACCCTATCATTTGACTCCTGTTGGCCCCCACAACTAAACTGTGTGGACCTATGGGTGACAAGAGCCTGGAAATCCCCGGGGTTGTAAAGTGGGGACTGGTGTGTTGTCCAATTAAAATACTTAAAATAATCATTTGCGGCCATACCTTTAACTGTGTAGACAACCTTACGTCTTCTCAGCTCTCTGGCTTGTCGGAGCTGAGCTCGCTGCTGTTGCTGATCCTGTTGAGTGAGAGCTGTCTGGGCCTCCAGAAACCCTGCCTAATAAGAAGGAGACATACAAGATCCACAAGAGAGACAGCAGGGGGAGAGTATTTACATATTATCCAACTTTATCCCTGTTCTTTGCTACCTCTTTGAGGGAAATATTGTTTCTCTTCTGTTCTACATTGGAGTAGATTTTGTGGATACTTTTATCCCATTGCATTTAGCATCTTAAAATCAGTATTACAGGGAATTTACCAGGCATTGGAGGATCTCTCTACAGAAGTAATATTATGTATGATACAATGCACTGAAAATAATGTACGGGATTTTGAATGCAGGACAAAATGAACTTTTATGTATGGATCTATTGACACTTTTGAGAAATTAACCTTTACTCATGTACAGACATGTAGATAACAGCACACCTATTTGATTTATAGCCATGTTTCCTATGAACTGACTGGATTTAAAGTTAATCATTCAGAAGCAGGAGTCATGTGACTCTCCATTGCGTCTATGTGTGTGCCTCTTCGGCAGGGGGGGCTTGTCTACCCCCTGTAGCCTGGAAACAGACACCATCGAGGACTTGTTATGGCAATAGACCACACTACTTTCTAATCCAGCGACACTTTACCCAAACCCACAGGGACAGGAAAAGCCCATTCTTACAGCACACATTTGTCTCCCGCTCCCTTTCTGTCTCTCCATCCAATCCTCCCACCATCTGTCTTAAGCACAGCGTCGCACTTTAATTTTCCCTCAATAAAAAAAAAATGAATTATTGATGTTACAGATGCACTTCAGCTCTCAGGTAATTTGTCAAGATGTTTTTACCTGAGTCATTCGACCGGGGCCGTTGCGTCTTGTTATAGAAAACTGCTGGACACCCCCATCTCTGCAGCCCCTCCCCTACAACAACAAACATGAAATTACTTTATAATGCTTTGGATGTCACATGGGAGGTGGTGTTGGCATAGTCAGTTTCTATATTTTTCCCTTTTTTCTATTACCATTGCAATTTGATTGGCATTGCTTGGTTGGCCAATTTGAACATCCAGTGGTTGCAGTGCCTGAGGAGAGATAATGATGTGATGTCTGAGTAAAATAAAAAAAAATCACAACCAGTCAGAAACAATAACGTAAAATGATGTCAGTCAGAGTCCCAGCACAGGATTGAGCTGATGAGAAACGTCTTATAATGAATCAGGCAACAGGAATCCCCTGCTGGAGTTAATAAACAACATTAGGCAGTTAATTTTGCTCTGCTAACCTGGGGTCTCCTGGGTGGATGGGAGTGAATGATGCTTGAATGGTTGCTTTGCTTTGGTGGGAAGTTTCCTGCAATACGTGGTTCTTATACAGCACACACGGACAGACAGAATCACAACACACAAAATAATGAGTAGGACAATTAAAGAGACAGGAGGCGTACTTACCCGAGAGTGTGGAAAGAGATATTTCCTGTTTCAGAGGAGGTAAGGTTCTCTTCGTATGTCCCAAAGATTCAGATGGCTGCTCCACACTGACCGGCAGGGCAGGGAGTGTCCATTGAGGTTTTGGCTTGTCCCCTTCTTCTTGCAGGCTACATGGAGCTACTTTATGCAGCCTGGGTCTGGAGCCTGTGGAGCCCATTGTCCCTGTCCCTAGGCTGACAAGCTGAAGATCGAATTGTTTTGTCTTTCTTCAGTTTTAGTGTTAAATATAATTACTGATCTCAGCTTGTAATGTCTCTACCTGGAGCTCTTGTGTTCTAGGTCCACTGGTTTTGCCATGTTGCTTACATGTTTCACCTCTCAGAGTAATTTTGGCCTCTCCCATAAAACGACTTAGTTAGTTACAGAATAACATCACCTTTAATATCCACTCTCCAATGGCCCCATTCGTTGCAGTTGCTCCCAAACAAATCTGCTCGTCCTCATATCTTCCCTGCTGGCTAACTAACCATTTGTCCTGAAGCATCTCTGTCTGGTGCCAAAATAAAAATGCAACAAACACTTTTGTAAGCCGTTGAAAAAGTAGGTGTGTACTTCATCCCTGCCTTCAAACCTGTCTATCTTATTATAATGAGCAGGGTTTCTATGGCAACTCTCCCTACAGGTTAGTTTGTAACTCATAAGTTAATGCTTGAAAGAACTTGTTTCTTTTTTTCCTGCGCCTCTTCCCATATCTGAAACTCCAGAGGGGTAGAGACAGGTTCTCTGGGAAATAATTAACTGAGTAAGAGATGGGACTTGATGAGTGCTCAGGAGACAACAGGGGGGGGAAACAGACACTGTTACTGTACAAAGGTTGGTCTTATAAGGAGCATGTCAGCTGGTTGTTATATTAGCCACATCTATATAATGGCCTACACTGCATCAGGATTATATTGTGCTGGTCATTCGAACTGTTTCTAATGAGTTAGAAGGTAATCATTGTAATTGTTTAACATCAACACGCTGGCATTCTCAGCTTTTTATCATGTCATTTGACCTTTTAGCATTTAGTTGCTACATGCCACAAAGCTGTTTGCATGGCTACCTTGTTATTGTATAATATATTCAGCCTTTTTTTTTCTTAAATGCATCTTTAGTTTGGACATGGTTTTGGTCTCTTGGGAGCACTATAAGTTGTATCATGTTACTCTTCAAAGTGCTGATTGTTAACCCATTTTAGCAAATGACGCAGATTGGCATCGCACATGTAATATGAACTGATCTGCTAGCCTTGGTTTTTATATGTTTTTGTGTGATTTCTAGTTTGGCATATTTGCTTATATTGTGTCTAACCTTTCTATCTAATAGGACTATTCCTACACCAAAATAAAGTCAACAGAATTCTTTCTTAGCCCACTTGTTCAGGCCAAAGCTGCAGTTTACGTTTGAGCACTTTTGGAGGGAGCAGAAAAACCACTGCACCATTGACTTAAATTGTAAACATTACACATAATCGCTGCTTCTTCAAGCTGATTTATTTTATTATGTTAAAATGCCACTGCACTCGCCTCAGCGAATGCTTCATTAGAGGTCTCTCAACTCTCTCAGTGACTGCACGATGCAACCGTAACAGCACTGTGTTGTTGGATTCTTGGGACTGTGTGTGCAAGTGTATACATGTTATAAAGACTGAAGTAGAAAGACACTGCTACTTCTGATCATACCCTCATCATATCAACTGCACCGTCGTCTCAGTTCGGCTTCGAAGGTGCAGGTAATTTTGCCTTCATGTAATGTGACACTAGAGAGTCATTTTGACAAACTCTTATCACATGACCACATCTGAACATTTCCCACAGGGTTTTTAACTCTGGATTGTGTTCATCTGTGAAATAGGATAAATACAAGTAGAAACAATCATTCTAAATCTTCTTCAGTTAGCACATTCATACATATCTGTGGATGCATGTGTGCCAGTAAATAACAGCTAAGTGCAGCACAGAAAAGCATTTCATAATATAGCAAGGAGAAATGTGCAGTCATTGCTGCTAAATCATTGCAATGCACTTAACTGATTGCTAATATTTATGAATGGCACTGCTAAGTTTTTGGCTTTGATGCAATCAATCTTCTATGTAATGGTGAAGCAAAAATAGAGTGGCTCTTATATGTTCTAATAGGACTTTTTTCAAACAGTTTTAGATTGAAAACATAAAGGATAAGATCATAAGCATGATCTTATATATAACATCAGAATAATTGTCTAAGCTCACATTAGATTCAATGATATTAAGTGACTTTTTTGTAAAAGAGTTAGAGCAGATTAAATTGGATCTATGTGCATATTTGCCATATTATTGGAAAGCTCCAGTTCACTTCAACAACATATAAACTGAAAATATTTATAGAAATCAAAGATTTTCTTTTTCTTTTAATTATGTTTCTACTTTAAGGTGTCCTCTACATCTTGCTCATTTATTTGTCTAAAGCAGCAAAAATAGTTTTTGTGTGACAATACTATACTATACTACTATAACCAATGTCATGGTCCGGCACCATCAGGGGAAGACGATGACGTCCAAAATGTTTAACTCTTGAATGATCTGATTTTAGACCTTTTCTGAGCCTATGTGTTCTGCTGTTATATCCAGAGCTAGTCCATAACCGATGCTGAACAGGTCGACGTTAAGTCCTAAACGATAGAATCAGCTCAATTAACTCATGATTTTTCAAGTTTTGTAAATAGCTTTGACTGTACGCCTATTTAAATGTATCTGTGTATGTACTGTTCATTCACAACTCAAGTTTGAGATTCTTTTCTGTTTCACACAGCTCCTCTTAAGCAGCTTCTCCTGTCGACTCTGTGTGTAGGAGCACATGTTGAGTGTCCATCTGGCCTTGAAAAGGAATCCTTTTTTTTTGTTTTTTTCAGTATTCTTGTCAGTATTTGTCCTTTTAAAATTGGTTTATTGTATTTAATTTATGGTTGTTTTCTTGTTAGGTTTACCCATATTCTCCCTAATGTTGTTTTAAACCACCAAAGGCACGACCACAGGATCGTAAATTGTCGTCCGGAACAGACAGAGTGCAAACCTGCTGTTATAAAGGAAAGAGCCTGTAAAGCTTTGACAGCTTTATCAGTTATGTATGCCGCTTTCTTGATGCTGATATCTGCAATAACTTAAAAACAACTGTAAAATGTTCCTAATACATACTGTGTGCTTCTGATAAACAAATAGACCACTGCTATGAATGAGGGTTTGAAGTCATTTATTATAAAACCAAAAGGGCCTGTACATTACGCATAGTATAATTGCCATTCTTGTACATAATATAATTAAATAAAACTTAAAAGTAATATTCTTTATATCTTATTGATACAGCTCTAAATAAATATCATAAATAGTTTTAATACTAAGCCAAAGTGGCCCTTCCATGGTTTATATTCACAGAATACAGTCTGCAGAGCAGGTCTGGGGAGGTCAGGCAGCTCTTGGTTCAGGTGCGTGCGAGGAACAGGACTGCGCGTGGCGAGTATTTCAAGAAAGTAAAAAACACTTTCCACCCTTTTAGTTTGCGATGTATTGTCCATACATGTTCTTGTGTACCCCTCCTGCTGTGAAGTGGCAGAAATAGAGATGGATCTCCAGAGTGAAGTTCATAAAGTTCAAGACGATACTTCTTGCCTTCCTGATAGAGAGTCCATGTTGACAGAAGATCCTGCCACACTTCCTCAGTGGGCATCAGAGGAACATGAGCAGAGAGGTCCTTATGAAATGAACAGAGGCCAGCAAAGCTGTCACGCCAAAGGGATGGAGACCGCTCCGTTGGCTCGACTGCGGCTTCTAGTGTTGATGCTGGACTCTGTGAGCTCCTCGCCGTGGTCCTCTGCCTTCTTGTCCGCGATGTTGGCCAGGAACCGCAGTGTGACCGAGTCCCACTCCTCTGGCAGCAGCAGGAGTAGGAATCCCAGGCAGATGATGCAGGTGGCTGCCAGGCGAACCACACTGAAGATGACCTCATGTTTCAAAAGATCTACGGCTACGGCAGGTAAGAGACAGAAAAAGACAAAAGAGGGAGCCAGAGAGCAGGACAGGAAGGTAGTTAAGTAAGAGACAAACAAAAACAAATTGAGATTAATTAGATAAAGTAAGATAAACCACAGGACACTGCAGCTAAGGGGGATGAGTAAAGAAAATACAGCTTATAATCAGCACAGGCGATCCACTTAATCCCCTGTGTCTTTGCGGTCTCAAGCCCAGGGACAAGTTGCGGTAACCCACTGACCTTCATATAGTCCATCATGGTTAAAGAAAAGTACTTGTCTGCAGGCATTTAGTGTCGCCTTGGCAACCTGATCCTCCCTCAGCGAGAGAATGGTTTAGGCACATTGATGATTGGGTTTCCAGAACAAGAGAGCCAGACTTGCTGTGTAATCTATTTGCTACTGTGGCCCGGAGTGCTGACCATCTCAATACAAAACCACAAAATGTGTGGCTCTCTTTTTGTTAACAATCAGTTTATTTCAACATAATAATCGAGACATACTATTCAGTCATTCAGATGCAATACTTCAATCAAATCAAGAAGCCCACCTGCATTTCCTGGCACACTGAGCAGAGTCCCAATAGAGATGAGAATAGGGTATGTTAGCACCACGCCGACATGGACCAAGATGTTGAACACTGTAAAGGACAAGAGAGAGGCTGAACACAAGTACAAATGAACTAGAGCTGGAAAAATGTGTCAAGTAATCTATCAATGAAAACACAGAGTTGTTATAATTTGAAACATTTTATAAATCAATATGTGATTTAGGTCCTTTTTCAGTAAAAAGCCCCCAAGTTAGCCAACTTCTCAAAAAGGAGAATTTCCTGATATAAAAGCAACATCAGGAGCATTCTTATGAGGATGGCAAGATCAGTCAGAGAGTTGGTCAGTCCATCACTTTAGTTTAGACCTTTTCTTTTTCATTTTACTTTTTTACTTACATATTTCAGGGTCAAAATCACTAACAGTTACAAAAAGGTTTTAAAGTGCTGTACACCAGCAGACCACTCAGCCAGCAGCCACAAAAGGGAAACCTGCAGAAACCTACTACTTACAGGCAACAGAGCATGATAAAGTTACGTCCCCTGTAAGTGCTGGTATTTGACAATGCAAAGGCTCAGAGTAGGAGTGGGACAAAGTATTGATAAAGCAATGTATAGTTGACTGACTCGTGTGTTGAAATTATCAATTCGCTGGTGCCGAATACAGATATTTGAATAAAAAAAATATGACCCTCTAGGCAGATTTCCTTAGCAATTTGACTCCCTGCATCATTACTGCATCATGACATGTGAGTGTAAAATGAACAGAAGGTAAGTGGCTAAAGAAGAAGATGACAGTGTAATAAAAGGAGAACATTAATCCTGTGCTTAACCTTTTTACATTTTATACTCTTCAGTTAATATGATATTGTGATGTATGTGTGTTGTGGTAGTTGCCCTGGCATATAACTTGTCTTATTAGAGTTCTAGTAAGCTTGATTACTATGGCTTTTGGGGAAAAAAGTAATGTAAACTTAGCCTCTGAATGAAAAATACTTTGTGTGGCACTGGATAGCCTAGCTGTTATGTCCCGCGCCCCACATACAGAAGCTATAATCCAACATCAGCCCTTTGCTGCATGTCATCCCCCCTCTCTCCTCCCAGTATTTCCTGTCACTCTTTAGCTGTCCTAAGCAATACAGGTAAAAATGTAAAAAAAATACAGGCAAAAAATAAAAACATACTCTGGACATAAATCATCCTTATTTTCTTCAGAGATGTATATGCACTCTTACCCAGCCACAGTCCTGCCAGTCCACACAAGTATCCCCAGGGCAGTGAAGACAGTGAGCCCCAGTGCTCTACCTTGGTGAAATAAAGGATGAGTGGTACACAGGAGATGAAGATGAGGTTGAAGAAGCCCATGGTGGAGAGGAAGTGAGCCACTTCTCCAAGGCTGGCACTGCCCAGGAACATCTTAAACAGCACCTGGATATCAAGGAAATCATTTTATACTCCACCAATTGACTAATTTACAATGCCTTCAGGGACTGTATCCTTGGAAGCATTACCTTGTAGAGAGCTGATGTGGAGGCCGAGCCAACAGCCAATGCCACACCCACAATGGAATCCCCATGGAAACCATCAGCATATGCCATCATTACAATACCTGTGATGGCCATTATGGCTGCCACAATCTGCAATCAAAGCAATTAGTTTCATATATACTCTATAATACTTAAATAGACCTTAAATGTTTTATTGTCAGTGTTGGGGTTTTCATACGGACCCGGACACCCATGAAACGGTCCTTGAGAACGATCCAGGACAAGAGAAAGACGAAGGCCTTGTGGCAGCAGTACAGGGCAGAGACATCAGTGGCGGTCAACTTCTTCAAGGCCAGGAGGTACAGGTAGTTGGTCAGAGTCCACAGGATTGAGAAGGGGGCTGTTCTCTTTACAAAAAGCTTGAGAGTCATCCCATCTTCCCCAAAAAGCTTGCTGCACTCCCTGTAAGCAAGAAGAAACAGAAAAGTATAGAGGAAGTCTGGTCAACTTGTTTTGACTCATGAAACAGTGGCTGTGTTCGAACTTGGCATTGCTATCAATGAGACCATTAAAATCTAGGAATGGAAATGTTGGTTGACTAGTTGCCTGGTTCCTCATAGACAGTCAAGTCATTTAAATCTATAACAGTTGAGGTAATGAGTCATAAGGCCTCTAGGGGCCAGTTGAGGTGCTGGCAATGCAAACAATGCTTTCTAATCATCTGTCTGCTATAGCTATGCAGTAACAGTATAAGTTACAAGTACGCAAAAGCTTACCATAATAAATGATCAGAAATTTAAATTGGGTAGATATTGTGGTTCTCTTCGGTAAATGATTCTTGAAAAAAGTAATCATTTTGTTGGTCGTTTACCTGAATTTCTGAATAGGGGTCTGCTTCTCCCGTGTGATGACCACATGTCCAGAGTAGTAGATGGGGAAGAAAAGCATGTTCCAGTTGCTGCTGAACCAAGAGATGAAGAAGGGGCAGGAGAAGGACTGGAAGGTCAACTTAACCACCTGAGTGGTGCCTACCCAAGAGGAGGAGATGCACAGCACCATCAGCAGACCACCCAGCACCTTCAGAGCTGTGTTGGTACATGTTTGAAAGGTTCGACTCTCTTCACTGGTCTCGCTGCCTGGTGTCTCTGCATGAGATTCTGAGCCGTCTTCTCCTGGTGGGAGACAACAGAAAAAACATCAATAATGCATTGAAGGAAATCTTCATGTCAGCTCTACTTCCTGTTCAACAACAAATAAGAAAGCCTTGAATAAAAACAAATACTTAATTGAATTTTTTTTGCTTGTAAGTTTAACTTATTGGCAACCACTGAATGGACAACCAAAACTACAAGCTTATATTTTATTTTCAAAGGCAAATCTACCCTTACCTTCTTACTGATTTCCATCTGACTTATTACTCAGGTCAGGACAATCACTCATGTTCAACTTGAACTGGGTGGGTCTATAGGCACTGTTGATGAAGCAAACATGCTGTTGATGTTGAGTTGAATCCGCTTGAAACAACTCTATAGTCAGTATTTAACTTAACTTCTGAATGTTAAGTAAAAATACAGGCCATTGGAATTGGATGTTGGAACTAGCTGCAGAAATAGCTGCATACTGCTATATCGTACATTTTGTTTCTCTGATCTGATGTCGTGCCAGAGAAACATCTCAATGTACTGGTATCAATATGTAATTAATATAAATAACTCAGATTAACCAATTATTTGTCATCAACTACTGTTTTGGGTAAAAATATGAAGTCTCATTTTGCTTAGTGCTCAACGTTTGCTTTGGTTTGTGCAAGTTGTCAAATGTTAGGCTGCAAGCATTCTAATGTAAAGTGGTGAGTACGGTAAACATTTTAACATTAGCAAGTTTTGTAAGTCGGTTGGTTAAAAAAAACATTTCTGACTCTACTTTCTTTCCCCCACCCGCTGTCAGTAAGGTCATTGCTGTCGCACAACTAAAACATGCAGCTCAATGCCTAAGGAGGATCAATAGTAACAGTAAATAATGGCACGAATTTCACCTTTTTATTTGTAACTATTTTCACAAAACATTTAGAAATAATAAATATGTAATATTTCATTTTAAATAATGAGACATATTTTCGCACTAGACTCATTTATTTGTGCTTACAAACTATGGTCTCGTGCATGTCATCATTACTTTGAAAAACTAACACTATGTTTAAAAAATTAATAAGGCTTCTAGATTTCAGTAAAATTGCCCCTAAATATCACATTTCTTGAGTTTCTGTTTCGTGTGTTCACTCTGGTCCTCTGGTCCGCCTGAGAGCAGCCAAAAGCTATGCGCCTTATCGTGAATAATGCTTATCCTTCATCAAATCAAAACGAATAAGTCATTAAAAATTCCTCCCCCGTACAATGTATGCCGAGCGAGTAGACATATTTCATCTTTTGAACCAGGCTGTAAACATGTTGATTTCTGCTTCAAATTTTTTTTAATGGGTGTGTATGTGACATCTGGTGCTACTGCAACCAGCCTCAAGCAGACTGGAGGAACTGCAGGATTTTGCACTTCCGCATGCATCGATTTTACTAACATGCTAATCTTAGCTGGTTAGCATGGTAAACAGTTTATCTGATTAACATGAGCTTGTTAGCATAGTCACTTAGCATTATCTCGTCAGCATGGCCACAGTGACTTAGCTACCTTGCTAACTCAAGATGGTGAGCACAGTAAAAATATACCTGTTTAATATCCGCCAGACAGTCAATGTTAGAAGTTTGCATGTACATATAAGCATTTAGCCTTCTTTCCAAGTATTTGTTGTATCCAAACTGCATCTACTTGATATCACAAAGCACATTAATAAGTAGCTTGTGTCTCACTGGCTGGTTTCCAGCACACACGCTTTAGCTGATCAATTGCCCTCAGTACCACCTCTCTACCAAAGTTAGCATTTCCTGCTGTAGCAATAATGTCAACATTGTGTTGAGTTAGCATTGCGGCTGTGCATGTCATAAATAGCTTTGTCGCCTCATGATGCAGCAGGTACTGAACACTCGTAGCCAGGTGTGCACAGAAACCTGACTCCCAGAAAGCAAGAGTAAACCTAACCACATGACATTCCACAAGAAAGTCATTTCAACCTTGGCTGCCACTGTTTTCACTGCTGCTACATCCCTTCTTTGAAAATTGTATCTCTGGGATACAATATGGAAATGAGAACCTTATGGGCTAACTGGGAAATTTATGAACAGACAACTATGCTCTAAAATATTAGACACAATAGATAGATAGATAGATAGATAGACTTGTTTTCCATCTAAGGACAGTGGTGCATTGTTGATCTGGCCCTGTGCCTTAAGAGACTGCGGTAGTAAAAGGCTTCTGGACCAGGACTGCACTATGTAATATGTGAAGGGCTGAGTGGGCGAGCATTTCCGGAGAGAGCTCAGATCCGTTCTTTTACTTTCACCAGTGTGATCAATTTACACTAGGGCAGGAATAAAAGATGACATGTGCCGGATGTCTGCTACCTCAGCACATGAAGCTCTGCTCTTTCCACCATGGCTACAGACACTAGAGCCCTGAAAGCAGTTGAACCCATAGTATCTCACCTCTACAGTAGCAGGGCATCTCAGGGGTTCGTACTATTGCATCTGATCTGATAGTCTTTTAATTTCTGTGATGAGACATAAAAGCAAAGGTAGCACAAGTAGAGAAGGCCTAACTGACATCTTAGGATTTCACTAAAAGTACTTTCCTTCATCCAAAGAAAACAGTTACCATGTTTCTGCAGCACAGACCTTTTTATTTTATTTTTTAAATAAAAATATATCTAGCGCTGTGTTAAGCTTATGGAGAGGAAAGATTTCACGTTCTAATATCTAAAGATGTCTGTTTCTCTGCCACCAGGCTTCTCCCACAAAGTGTTTTTATGAAAGTCAATTTTCATGAAGGACACTTCTTTCATCAAGAGAAGAACTCCGCAGTGTTTCCAAATTTACTTTATAATCCCAATGAAAGCATGAGATCATTATTGGCACCCAGTAAGAGTATTAAAGATAAGTGATGTCTGAGAGCGAAATGGTGAATATTAAGTCACATCAGTATTCCCATCAAGTAGCTTTTGCAAGTAGAAGCCCTGCATTTATCATCTCAAACGAGTAAAGGACGGAGGTCAAATCTATTCGCAGTAAAAGTAATCCTTCAGAAAAGTCAGAAATAAAATATCATACAGTACATTGTGTCTCAGGTATAAATGCATTAACACAGGGCAAGTTGCCCTTACTGTATGTAGTATAATAATACAAAGTTCCACATGACCATTTATTTGTACAAAAGCTTAATAGTGTCACTGGGTAACAAGATAAATCTGTGGGGTCGTCAAAAGATAAATGGAAGTTGTGATGGAAAAGACAAACTGTATGGAAACTAACTTGTTTAATTGTGGACTTTTATCTAATAGTTATTGAAAAATATTGTACATATACATCAAATGAGAAGTTCTGAAGAAACATTTCTTTAAAAAATTGTCTCATATTTTTGGGGTAAAATGTTCATAGAGAGAGTAATTATTAACTTCATCAGTCTGATAAATGCAGTGGAGTAAGATGAAAATATTTCCCATGGGAATTAACTAGAAATATAAAGTAGCACCAAATGCAAATAGAAAAAAAAAACATGTAGCCTACTTGGAATGAGTTATTCTCCTCATGACTGCATAAGTGCAACTGGCCTTAAGTCTGTTCACACTTCAGAACAATGATGTCTCTCCTGTAGCACAGAAAAACTATTCAGTGAAAGTGAATAATCTCTAGCATTCAAAAAGAGTCAAACTAACGATACTCTCACAGTTCTATTTTAGTTCAGACTGCACATTTTCCCTTTGAAACTCTCTCAGAAAAACTCTCAATTAAAATATATCAACTTACACTAGGTCCCAGCTGGGAGCAGAACAACAGTAAGAAGTGAAAGCAGATTGTTTAACATCAATACACTTTCTTTTCCACAGGAACGTTCAGGGATTTGTTCTAATTACATTCTGTCACAACAAAGATTTTTAATCAACTTAATGAGCCTGGTGCTTTCTAACTGGAAAACCGAGATCCCAAGTTTCTGCAGGGGAGAGAAGCAGCTTCTCCACCTCCTCAGAGCAGGATGGTTTTGTGTTTCATTGCACCTACAAAAACCTGAAGCTTTTAGTGTTGGGTATGGGATTTTTCCGTCGTTAGGTGAAAGCCACTACAGGCTGATCTGGTGCCAAGGTGCAGTAATATTATAACTCTACTATTCCCCTGTCTCATAAAAGCTGCTTTCGTGGCCAGAATTGTATTCTCATAACAGACAGTATTATTGCTGACTAATAATGCTGCTAAAAAGTTGCAAAGGAAACAATAACCGCGTGAAAAAACACAGACTGTCAGCACAGTCATGCAGTCATGTAAAAAAGATGCTATAGAGTTTGACTTGTTGTAAAACTGCTCAGAGTCCAGGTCTTGAATTACTCTAACTTAATCATTAAGATCCAGCTTTCACAAATCAATAAATTACACAAGGATATTTACTTTACTAAATGTACTCTGTACACAACTACACCCCCCCCCACACACACACACACACAAGATTAAGAATATCTACTTAAAGTATGTGATTTAATGTGAAGCTGAAAGAAGCTCATTTTCAGCTCTCCCCTACAGAGCTCCACTTAATGTATACTGTAGGATTATTTTTAAGTGTTAGCATCATGCCAATTCATTAAAGATATGAGAGTGCTGCATAGGATCATACATTGGCTCATATTCTCTGCGTGACACTCTATGCTACTTGAACCTCTTATTTCGATCTATCCTGTTTTATTCCTTCCTCTGACGTTGCATGCCCGGTGACATTGATGGATGGACGCCTGCTGAACCCAATATAAAGCCCACATTCATGTCTGCATTGTCAGGCAAGCTTTCTACGTGTCAGAGAACTCTAAGTCTCAATCAAAGTGTAGCTTGGTTATGTTGATGCTGATAGTTAGCGGTTGCACTCACAGATTAAAAAGTGGAGGGATTAAGGTGAAGTTTAAGGCCTACAGGTTTATACAACAAACACAGGACTGGAAAAACATTTTTTTTTACATCACTTCTTGGTCCTAAAGTGCTGCCATAAAAATGATGCAGCTACCACAACTGCACTTTCTGCCCACACAACTAGCCTTAAAGAAACTGCTAAAAAATTTATATTTTACAATGTGCAGGAACAAACTGTCAAAAAGTCCTGGTGAAGTAAGCCCAATTAGGTGGCTGTTCTGTGCAGATTTTTCTGAGGTATATTAGATCTTTCTTCTTTTGAAACTTGATTGGAATCATGGGAAATAGTAAGTCAACCTCTATAAAAGCTGGCCCATTAATAGATAAAAGTACCACCTAGTTGGAAGCAGCCAAACTGAGCTAATGCTGCCAATAACTCAGCTTGTTTTAACATTTGAACATCAAACACACACAGTTTTGTATAAATGGCGTCTCTGGTCTCTCTGGTTCTTGTAGTTTACCTTCAGAGATGGGGCAGGTCAGGACCTGGGTGCTGTAGGAGCTGAGAGGAGCTACTCGGGCTGAGTGCTTCTTCATCCTCCACTGGGGGCTACAACACACTGTCCTTCCCTGGGAAGTGTGTATATCAGTGTGTGTGTGTGTGTGTGTGTGTGTGTGTGTGAGTGTGTAATAGTGCCCTGGCTGCACGCTCAGCAGCTCCTCCTGCTCGCTCCGTCCATCCTCAGACTCCTGACTCCTCTGCTTCTGCTTCAGGCTCTTGATCGCCCACTCCTCCTCCTCCTCCTACTCCTCCTCCTCTTCTCCGTTTCTGTCAACTCTTCGGTCCTCGTCCCAGCACTCCTATGTCCTGACGCTCTGTTCCTCTTCCCCGTGCTGCTGCTCTAACTGGTGCTCCCTCTGTGTATCTGAATGGTGACACAGCTCAGTGGAGTTATCTGAGTGAAAGTGCTCTGAAGTGGAATCTCTACTGTTGCACTGTCATGCCGTGATCCGGAGCTGCCACTGTCTCCAAGGGAGACTGAGCTTCAAGTGTGTGTGGCATGGTGCAATCTCTCCCATCTCTCTCTATCTATCCTCCGCCTCCTCCTCCTCTCCTCTCTTCTCTGTCTCTCTCGCTTCTCCCCTCCTCTTCTTTTTTGCTCCACAAATCAGCAGCTTTGTTTGGAAGGTAACCAAGCAGCCCAGGCTTATTATGCTGCGTTAGCTTCTCCCCCCCTCCTCTCTCCTCTCCTGTCTACCTGACCGTGCTCCTCTCACTCCATCCATTGCCGTCTCTATCTATCTCCTCTCATCCTCTGGCTTCAAATGACTCTGTCTCTTTTTGGCACGTCTCCTGCTCTTCACTGCTCCTTGAGGGTCGGATTATTTGTAGAGCTCTCTTCAGTAGCTTTCTCCACTGCATCATTTATCAATTGAACTATGAAAAAGACACAACTACCACTAAGACACAACAGCATTACATATGTTTGTCTTCATCTCTAAAAAATTGCAATGAAGGAGTACTTTTTAACTTCTGTTTGAATTGTACTGTAGCATCCTTTTAACTCTTATGTTAACAACTTTAAATCAAGAATGCCCCCCATTGATCTTATCACAAACAAGCTGGTATGAAGAACAAGTGAACAAGAATGCAATTTGTTTTAGTCATTCCTGCCAGTCTGATGTTATGATGCTGTCTCTTGAGACGCATGTTTCCTGACACATTAAATACTGTCTTGAAGTAATATTGAGATATTTCCTGTATGAAAGTTTACAGCATCACTGCCACATTCCAGAGCTGACCAGGCCTCTATTTATCTCACCAAGTCCTTCTGATGGGTTGGAGTAAGAATAGTGCTAAAGCTACATTCAGCTTTGACTGCTAGACTTTAAACTAGACAGAGGTAGTTCAACCTATTTGTTTAGATAAACATGAAAACATTAACTTATTTTTAATGTTGATTTTAGGGAGATATGGCTCCCATCATCCAGCTTCAAGAAAATATGTCCTGCAGGAGACTAATCGATCCGATGGGCTAAGGTAGGCATCCATCCTTTCTTTGTTGTCAGAAACAATGTGGACCAGGAAATAGCTTGTATATACGCAGGCTTACTAATGAACTCCCCAAGTCGTACCAACAACGATTTCTCCAGTACGAGCCAATAACATTTTAGAGGAAAGGCTTTGCTTGTAAAGAATCTGAGCAGCAAGATGGATTCTTCAGGGTGAACAAATCCCCTCTTAATAAACACACACACAAATATTAATTCAGTCAAAAAGGCCCAAAATATCACGTACGCTTGTAACAACTTGTAGCAAACAGCATGTGAATGAGCATAAAAGTGAAAAGAGTTCACTTTAAAACCATATGAAATGACAGCTCATTGCTACTCAGCTGATGGACAGACACCACTGTAGAACATGGATGACAAAGCCAATCAGCTAATTCAGATGCAATGCTGCTCTGTCTGCACAAACGCAATGATTCATTACTTTAACCCCTCATGCTTACTCTGAGCACTTTTTTTTACCCATGCTGCTTCTCTTTAACATCATTATTGCAAACATTTCTGAGCAGGGTGTTTATAGTCAACAGAGTGTTTTTACATTAAATATTTACACAATAATGATACCCCTTTAATAAAGATTTCATATACTTTTTCTGTCACTGCTGTACAGCCGAGGGGAAACCCTCTCATCAGCATCCAGTGTGGACGTGAGGAGGGTCAGCTCGGGCCATTTGATTCAGGAGTTTCCATCTCCGGCTATCCTATCCCAAGCTGTGGTTTATCAGGGATTTAATGGAATAAAATATGACTCTGGCGTTTACATCAACAACAGATCGGTGTATCAAAGTGTATGTAGTCAGATGCATGAGGCCTTGCAGCCAGTAATATAATCTTAATATAACCTGTGCTTTGCTATGCTCACTCACTGTTATAATCAATACGAGCCAAGAATGGAACAAAACAAGCGCCACGGCTCCAGAAAAACAAAACAAAAAGTAAACATACAATATGATTCAACATTTTTACAGTAGAGTTCTATATCATCTGAAATTGGTGCTCTTTTGCAGCCCTGTTTTTTCAGGATCTCTTTCATTAAATCAGTCTCACTCTGAGCCCCTCTCTCACTGTCTGTCTGTACTCTCCAGTGCTTATCAGCCAAGGTTCTGGCATGCCTACAGAAAGAATAGCAGATCAGAGCTCTTCTCTGTGCATTCCTCAGCCTGAGAGAGTCAGCACACTGACTGTTTGTTGCAATGAAAAAGTGGAGGGCCACGTTCCAGTAACACCACGGTATTACGTGTTTATTTAAAAGCAGAATTCAATATTCAGGAGACGCTTTGAAAAGGAAACACGGTTATGGTTTTTTAAAGGACAATGCTGCTGTCTGAGCACACTTATTTCCCATGATCCCTCAGTGGGACAGAATAAGTGCAGCACTAATGTGAATGCATTAAGTGATGTCTGAAGACTGAGGCTTGATTAAAATGTTTGTGCATTAGGAGTGTGACGCAGCATGTCTGAAACCAATGTGTGGTCAGGTGTAATTAGAGGATGAGCTGGGTGGGGGGGTATGAATCCCCCTGAGGCGAGGAGGGTTAAACTTAAAAATAGCTCTGCTGAGTGGAGCCAACAGCCAGACAGGGAGGGGAGAGAGAAACAGTCTTGTCAGCAGAGCGCGGGATGCTAATCGCTATCAGATTAAGAGGAAAAACCTGGAGGGCTGCAGGATCGCAAAGTTCAATTTTGAAAATTAGTCTTTGGATTAAAAGCAATTGATCCTTTTTCTATTGTATCTTTTTCTGTTTTAAGTCTTTATTGACATTAGCTAAACAAATCACAAAAACAATGCTGTCCAATAAATCCACTTACTTTTTATGTCCTGCATATTTACAGTTTGAAAATAAAGTATTTCTAATTTTTTTTTTTGAGAGTTTTGCAGCCGATCAGCCTCATATCCAACATCCAAACTAGTACACATCACTTTATAAAACTAAAATTCAACAGCCCCACAAAAAAAATGAATTTAAAAACATGTATATGTCAGACATGATCAAATGCAAGTATTTGATTACCTCTCACTTTCACTACCAATAATACTGTAAATATAAACCCTATTACTACTTCACTACCTGTCTTATCTTATCTAAAAAAAAAGCCCCAAAATGTACCATCTTATTAAATCAGTGTCTCTCTAAAAAAGTCACATAAAAAACACAAACTCACGACTTTCTATAAAAAACAGGAACTGAGTGCATAAACTGTAACACAATAGTACTATTACAACCCACATCAAAGCACCAAATAGTGCAACATCCTCTCTGTTCACCTCCATAGCAACAGAGGGTCTCTGATATACTGACGCACTCAGCTGATTCAGGCTCTTTGTCATTTAGATGAACCCAAGCTCCTCAGTTTTCTGGTGCAGGCGCCTTTGTCCTTGCTCCCTCTCTGTTACTCATCACATCTCAAAGAGGACGAGGAGCAAACATGGAGAACGAGAGATGACAGGAAGAGGCAGAGGGAGAAAACTGCAACTAGTTTAAGCTCCAGTAGTGATTGGATGGACCATGAATCAACTTCTGGATGACAGAAGTGTTTCCAGCTCATCAACTTAACTCAATTTAGTTCGAAGACCAGGAGATGATGACACCTAGTGGTGATGGATTGAATTACAGGTGCATAGATAGTGACCTAAGGAGGCATGGGTGATATGAATAAATGAATAAATGAATAAAGATATTCCCTCAAACCATTTGGTATGTTGCTATTCATATGGTTTTAATTTGATGGGGAGAGGTTTTAATGAATTTACTGCCACCTGTCGAAGTGAATAGAGTTGTTGTCTATGTGGCTCTAAAAACAACCAAAACATGCTTAAAAAAAAACACCACAAAACTTCTAAACATATCCTGAAATTTGTGCATGTGTAAAAGTAAACAGAGTATTTTACCAGGATTTTTTTTTCTGCCAGCCTCCAAGTACAATCTGTCTAGAAATGTCCTCGAGTGAATATGTGAAAACAGCTAATGATGGATTATTCTGTGTATCACTGTAGACAGTTTTCATAGGGGCCTTCATCCTCCATATATAACATATTCTTGATGAAAACTCCTCACAGTGACATGTGTTGATTTTCCTCAGTGTCGCAGATGTAATTAGAAAGAACATGGCTGGATCAGCTTGCTGGGGCCCCAAGGCAAAAACGCAAGTAATCAGTGCCATATATTTCCATATTTCCTTATAGGAGTCACAGAACTGCTGACCTGCATGAACACATGGCACGGAGCTTTCAAACTTTGTAGTACTGTCCGTTAAGTAATTTAATATTCTTGCAGGCTACAGCAAGTTTCACTAAGCTGTGTTTGCGTATGTTTATGCTCTCATCTCCAAATCATCACTGATTAAAAACATGGCACGCAGCGGAATTCTTTACTCTAGAGGTAAATTGTTCCTCCGTAACTGGAATATAACCTGGCCCTACATATGTTCCTTTTTGGTAATGTGATCAAACACATTTATGAGTAAATGCGTCGACTGTGAGCAAAACATGAAGTGAAATAATGTCATTAATGAAAATAGATTTTGAAACTGGGCTCCTCTATAACACATGAGGAAATCATTCAGGATCAACCTAACGTAGTAACTGTTCATTAGGAGTTAAAATATAAAAAAAAACAACTAACCTTGAGTTAACCTGGGAGACTTTTGGGACCCTTAGAGTCTCCTAAGTGTCAGGTGAACAAGTAGCTGCCGCTGCTCCAAGCACACCATCTCAGTAGCTTTGTAAATCAATATAAATATTTTTCAGTAATTTTATGACATAACTTTTTAACCTTACCTTGAAAACATAGCAGGTGAAACATTTGTTTAATTCAAAAACCATTCATACATTTTATTCTATTTTTAACAATAACAATCTTGTTTTTTGTAGACACACAGGTTGTGGTTTAAATTTGTATTTATTGTCTTCAAGGTGTTTTAAACATGGAGGTAGTAGTCTACATCATGAATATTTAAATGTCAGGCCATGACTGGAGGATGTGCTGTTGGGTTGATGTGTGG